GTTGAACGTATCACTTAACCATAATCTAGCTGCACAAATAAAAATACTTTCATTGTATGTTGTAAATCAAGCAGTAGATAGCTAGTGATATATAAACCATGGTAAGTAGCAGAAATTCCCAATTGGTGGCACACGTGATCTACCCATATTTAGAGTAATTAAAACTTATTATCGTTGCCCTGGTAGCATGATTTATAATTCATAACAACAAAAGAATTGCCAGAGATACACGATATGTTGTGAAATATTTCGGTGTGAAACACATCCACTGGAAAATTTTTATGAAAATAAATGTTGATATTATCAAGTGACTAGATGAGTCAGTAAACGAATAAAAATTCTTTAGTAGATTTGCTTGTGAATATTCAAACGATAATTAATTTACTTTTGCTTTCCTGTTCTTTCGGGTCAGCAGTTTCGGTCTTCTTTCATCTCCCACTGATTCAAAAACAATCAACAAACAATAAATATGTCAATCAGTCTTCTTTTCATGGATTTACTTTGTTGAATATTCAATTACTACTAAATTATTGCACGTCATTATCTTATATTTGACTAGTAGTAATATGCATGTCATGAATGGAAATGAAAAAGTACATGTGACTACTTGTCTTGTATCATGTTGTTATATTTCCTTGTACTGTTTAAATTCATATTCATTCAATTCGGTTATTTATTTACTCTGCATAAGTGGCTTACATTACCTCACAAACCACCAGAAATACGATTTTCTACTCATTGGGATATAACAAAAGATATCTTGATTATTAACTTTCTACCCAATGCTCAATTTATTTGAAACTATCAAGTCAAACCTTGACATTGATACCTACTTATTATCAAAGATTTAAGAATTTAAGAAATCAGTGGGTTATTCACCGTTCCGCGAGACGATGGTGGATGTGATGTATTTATCGATAGTATTGTCAAAGATATAATAATAATACTACTACTACTACTAATAATAATAACACATTAATGTTTGGGATTTTAAGGGTACGGTAACTTTCAGTGATCTTGAGTGCTGTTAGCGGTAAATTTCAGTCAAAAATCATGAACAACCTAGGTATTATTATAATGATCAATGAATATTTATGAATTGTTAATCATGTAGTAGGACTAATTTCCAGTAAAATCACCATATGATCGCCACATCTGAAAGATAAATTTTGCGTCTCAATACATAACGACTAAAAGATTCTATCAGATAGCACGTGAAAGACGACTAATTGTAACTAATTCTGATATAACCAAGTTAAATATAGCCTACATATCCTAAAGATTATCAAGAGCTCAATGGTGCTCAAGGATGTTCGAAATTAAGCTATCACACTTTGTAAAATTTTTTGACAATACTTTGAACACAAATTGTTTATTCGTTTAGCTCTAACACTAAAGCTATGTAGTACACAAAAAGTTGAGATTCCTGTCAAATTGACACCAGAAGAAATAAAACTGTTTGACGTTCTTGTTGGATAATGAACCTACTAGTTAAATGAGACGAATCGAGTGAGTAGATGAATAATCACATAAAAATTTAATGATCCATTAAGACATCACAACTCTTTCTTTTGTTTTCATCTGTAACATCTGTTCATTATGTGTCTACAGAAAGATCCTATACAACAAAGTGTGAATATTGTCTGTAATAACTTGGTTGAATCACTGTACTTACTGTCATCTTTCTAGGTTTTATTGCAAAGTTTGAGTTGGAAATGATGTGAATAAATAAATATAATATATTCTGAAAATAATTATCGAATGCACGCTGATCAGGTTGAAACAGACAGTAATCCTGTAATGTTTATATTTAATAATGATTTCTGTGTAAATTATTATGAATTTCAGTCGTGGTCATACTATTCTACATAACTTAAACTGGACATCTATGAGAAAAACTAGTTGCCATATTAATCTGAATATTTCAGAATATCATAAATGTAAAGGACAGATAAATAATTTCGGGTAGTTTTAATTGATATAGTGTGAACTTGTTTAGTGCCCACGTTTGTCATGTGGATTACAACAGTGTTATGCATCATTCTGGGAACACTAATTCTTTGTAAGGGGACTAAAACATCCTATTGATGTATGAAAAATGTGTCCAAGGTGAATTCCAGGGCCATTATCGACTGCTTGTAGTTTTTTACAACTAGAAAAAAATGATCAGGCAGAGCACAGAACAAAAGAGACAAAAATTACTGTGACAGGTTTGGCGTTATCTAAGTGTAAAATTGCTTTATAATCTTCTGTTCGGGATAGAAGTTATTTGAAGTAGCTAAATGTATTAGGGAAGGTGTAACTGTAATATATCTGGATGGAGAAATCTTTCTTGAGTACCCCCAATAATAACAATGATTAATCATTTAACGTTGCCATAATTTAGCTAGTTAATGAGACGTATTTAGACGTGTAAGCACGTTTAAGGTAGTATTAGAGGGGAAGTGACAAACAAATAATTAAAGTGATTTTATTCCATGGACAGATTAAGGCAAATCACTACACACTCGAAAATGTATAGGTATATTAATTCGTATGGAATAAAGCTAGAATGAGATCGCTTTGCTAATGACAAGTGATGGATACTACAACTAGTTGTTACTTCATATTTAATTGGATCGTTGTATGTAAAATATAGTTTACAAATTATTTTGAAGAAGAAGATGGAATTTAATCCAAGTTTCTGCTTCTTTTAAGATTTGAATTCGAACTTGTAGCATCCGGATCAGTAGTTTGAGGTGTCTCTGAAGAGATTCCAACCTTGATTTATCTTTGATGAGAGTACTACTAAGGATAAAACTGAAGTATTCTCTGGGTAGTCGGACACATCCTTTGTACAGTAAAGTACGTGAATCATTGTTATAGAGATTACAAAATAAACAAATAATAATTTATTGAGACAAATCTCTGTTTGGAAACCTTTCATGAGAAGGACAAATTGTGGAAATATCTTAGTCCAAAGTTCACAAATGTATGAAATTTAGATTGAACCTTACTATTTATGATGAAATCTAAGTTGAATAAATAATTATCAAAGCAAATCTATCCACATTTTGAAGTGCAAAGTTCCAACTATCATTTAGAGCACCATTGAGCTACCTTAGTGACCTCCATATGTGTATAGATTTGATTTTGGTTTAGCTCATGAGGTGATGAAGAATACACCAATTTAAGGTACTCTGAATATAGAAAAGACTTGTCCATTCAAAAATAGAACAGGAGACCGAAATTCAATGTGACTATATATGCTAGTATGATGTATTAAAAACAACTTCTTAATAAGAACGAACTTTCCATAAAATATCCTCATAAAAGTGTAATAGTGATACTTTACTGAATGTTTCAACGCATACACGCAATATCTCGTAAAAATTAGTGAACGTTAATGGAAGAAGAATATAATTTATTCTAATTTCAAACTGTCTGCGTCGTGTTGCATACATAATCAAATTATCAGTCTAAAAAACTTGAAGTTCAAATTAATATATGCCTAAGTCGGTGTTACATTTTATGACAACACTTCTCTCACATGACCTGACAGAAATGAGTTGTCGGATTTTTCAGGTTCAATTTTTACATGCTGACACCAGAGTATATTAATAAATACTTGCAATCGTGCTCTAGCGAATAAATGAATAGTTGGTCAACATCATGATGACATTTAAATATTTATATTCGACTGTAATCAGTTTTAAACTTGTTGAACGCAAAATTGTACCTCTAGTAGTGTTATATTATGTCTAACGTTCTTTCAGTCAAAATGCATTGTACTGATAGAGTATTCATTACCAAATGTCATGGTAGTGCATTAAGTACGAATACACATGTTTGAAAACGAAGTAGTTGCAATCGTCAACAACAGGAGGCTGAGAGACCTGTGTTAATCCTGACAACAGAAGCAGACCTACTGATTCAAAAGTCCTTACGCTTTCCTCAATTGCAATTCACAATGCGAAACAACATACAATGATTTACATGTGTATAACAAAACTAGTCTTTTGAAAATCACTTCTGAAGTGTCTTATTTTACAGTATGGCTACTTATTCTTGAATTTATCTCTCCCTTCTACCACTGGATATGTCAACTATTTTTCAAGAATTGTTCAGCAATATTTTCATATCCATCAATCTTCCTTCACTGAAAATTTATAATTCGACTCTATTCAGTATTCGTCACACGGTTGTTATTCTATTATTGTATGAGACTGCAATGTTGACAATGGGTTGTGCATTAACAAACTCAAGATTGTAGATTGATGAAATCATTGGCTACTACTCTTTGTTGGGTTGCACAACCCTATTGTGCAACTCGATTCTAAACGACAGAGGTTTGATGTTATAGAGTGGGTAGTATTGTTGTTGATTCTTAGTTATTTGACATTTGTAGTTAGTAACTATAATTCGCTGAATGGTACGACATTGTATGACAGCATCTTTTGACTGTACGGTGACCGGGAATCATGGAAATGATTTAGAAATCTGAAGAATAACCTGAAATCGCAGTCAATAAATTTTCACATCGACAATAGATCGATCTGTTCACTTCAATTAAAGCGTCTATCATCTGACCTGGAACAAATGAATCGTAGGATTTTTCAACAATCAGTTTGTACTTTCTGATGTGTGAGCATGTAAACAAAAAAATCTGATTATGTTCAACTCAATAATTGTTTAAGTAATCTATATGTGATATTTTGAACAGTCATATTGTACATGATTTTGTCTTTATTATAATACATGAAAATTAGTCTGTGAATAACCTTTGCTTTGATGAAACACATGTGATTATATTAACTTTAATTGGTTTAAAGCGATCGTACGCCCGATTGTATGCCTTTACGTTTTAAGTTAATACATGTCTTTTGTTTTGTATTGATGTTTTATGTTTATAAATGTAATTTAGTCAAAGCTATTTAATTACTTCAAGTTAGTTTTCACTAGTATTATTAATTTGACAATAGTAACAGAAGTTCAATGCATCAAATGAAAATAGTAACTTAGTGGATTTTGGATTATCAAAATGGTACAATATACAGGTACGATTTCTTTTTTGAGAGGTAATTTTCATTATGTAATCTAATATATATTATCGAGACTATATTACTGTGATGAAATAACCTACTCACTTTATTAAACGAAAATAATAACTAGCAGTCAGATTCCTTTTTAAAATATTTAGTCACTCCATGAGTATTTTCGTTAGGAATCAAATCAGTTCAATTGCAGTCTTAAACTTCAATGGGAAGATACAAGCCAAACAGTACCAAGTGAATTTAAATTCACACAATTGCACAAGCAAGTGGCTATCAGGACTCAGTAGCTGAAGGGATAATGCGATGGCGTTTGAAGCGAATGTTACTGGGTTCGAGTCTCAGAGTGAAAATCAACTCTGAGGTGCAGGTACGTCCATCTGACGCATTTCAAATAGGACGAAACGCGCGTCCTGGATTCCACTGCTAGCCATTATTCGTCATTGCTTATCAAACCAGTTGGTTAATTTATTAGAAGTAAAATAAGCTTTAAGAAGCATGTCGAGTAGTGTTATTATCTTCAATGTGGACATTTTAAATCAAAAGATTTCCATTAAAATACTGGTGGTTATCAACAAAGTAAATTCTAAATTGAAGTGAATTTTAAAATTATTTTGTTCACTTAAAGTATTAATTATTATTAATGATATACAATGGGAGTTGATTATTTAAGAAAATCGATATATATCTCGTGGATAATTGTTATTTCTAAGATTAATGTACTGTTAGTGGTGACGATACATGAATGTATCAGAAAGACGACAGATTTCTAATTAGATTACTTTGGTTGTAGAAAGGTAGGAAAACGAATTATGTGGTATGCATCATCTGGGGAAAATATTATACACAGAAAATTTTCTTAGACTGAAAAATCATTAATTCATCAATGTATAATTATCGCATTTCAAATCCTCTAGATTAAGAATGCAGCTCTAAGATTATCATGAATCCTCTCTCTGAAAGTGACAAAAGAAATATTTAGAATAGAATGCTATACTTCCTAAGAATGTTCATAAATATTTAAACGACGTGTTTGACATGAACTGGGCACCAATCTTCTAGAAGACATCAAGTGTCAAAATGTTATATTCTAATTAGATTTTTGAAATAAACTTGTTTCAATTGATTTAAACGGTTACAATACATATGTTCAGTTTATTTAAGTAGAGCAGATATCAGTCACAATTCTCAAGAATGATAGCTGATTTGATGAGTTTTACCGTGTTGACCGTGTTGTCAAATGACTTTGATGATCGGTTTGTATGTCAGTGTATAAATCTACATACTTTAATTTGATTATCAGTGGTTTTTTAAAAAAGGTGTACAATATGATGGAAGGAGTAAATGTGACGGAATACTCCAACTCAAAAATTCTCCAAAGATTCATATTCCTCTTACCCCTATCTAAACGAAGGACAGACATTGAGAAAATGAAATGAAAACTGCTGTTTCAAAAACAGTTATCAGTATCATTTTCTTTCCTTACTATTAACATATTTTGAGTAAAATCTCTAAGACTGCAAAGATGAGAAATAGACAGACATTAAAGTCTGTATGTAAAATTATCTGTATGTAAATTTGTTTTTCAAGTTTTCTTGATTGATTAGTTATAAAACGAATTTATGTGTTCGCCTCAAACATATAAAATGCACCAATCATTTTCCTTTACTTTAAACAATCATTATACGTTGGCTACAATCCCAAATTTCTAAACATTTAAGTTGATTTCTATACAATGAATCGTGGATAGAGGTAAAACGGAAGCTATATTGTTCTCAGCAGGAATATTTCTGTTCGTAAATTTCTATTGAGTAAACATGTATTTATGAATCATTGTTTAATTTTCGGTAGAGTGTAACCCACATTTAGTTCAATCATTTTGTTGTATATGCATGATGCCCTATATTTTTCTTGATACTCAAAATCATATATGAGATATAATTAAATATTTTGTTATTTAATAAAAAATCTAATTTAAATGGAATATTTAAAGAATAAATATACCATATGGAATTCCTCACACTTTCCAGAATTACGACAATTTAGAACTGTGGAATTATCATGTACTGGATTATTATTTCATCATGCAAGACCTCAAGATTTTGTAAAATCTCAAGTACGTGAAGTATTTTAATATATTATATAATATGTTTTAGTAATAAAGTATTTTGTACGACGCTGAAAGATGTTTGTGTGACGGCTGGTGTACTATTAGTTTAGATATTTCATAGATTTTTAGTGTTACGATGTGCAGTGTCGAAACCGATACCGAAACACAAAGATTCTTATATGCAAACCATTGACGGGCTACTAGGTAAGAAGACTAAGGGTGAAGGAAGAAGTTTGTCGGGCTAAACTGAATAAAATCCATACGCACTCATTTTCTTTATACATGTATACTTCCTAGAAAATGAAACCAATGATTGGTCAATAATATGGACTTATCACTAGGATTTTGATAGACATATCGTAGCCTTCTCATTTGGTGAATTTTGATTAACACACTTTGAAACGCTTTCCATCAGTTTAGTCCCGACCGTTGCTGCTACCTTGACGTAGTGGTCAAGCTTGCTTATCGTGATGAACCAATCGAGCTATACTGGCTGGAACAATCGTTCCTCAAGGTCCTACCATGCCAGACAGGTCATTTGAATGGCAGTAAGACTAAAAGCAGTAAACCCGAGGTCCGAGGGTGAAGTCGTACTGCTGGCTGTCCGGAAGTGTGATGGCAGTAAGGTTTTTCCCTTAGGCAACCAGTATAACAACGATGCTGCCTTCCCACAAGGGTGGTTGGGGTTAGAAATAGTCGACCCTAAAATGCACACCTCGCCTTATCCCATGGACATCCGTCTCCGGAGGCAAGGTCTCAACAAGTACGGAGCTAACACGAAAATTACTCACAAAAAGGTCGTGTGTGACGGACCTCAAGCAGTTGTCCCTTGGACACTGCGGTCACACCCTAAGGTTGCTAAGACCACTCCTAAACCAATTTTCTTTTCAGGTACCTCTAGAAGAACTCTTCAACGGTGTGGACAACCGCGAAGTTATAACTGCCCTAATACCTCTAACAGCACTCATGATCACTGTATTAATAATTTTCATTAGTTTAGTTGTGATCATGGGTTTAAACTGACAAATAGGCTTTACGACTAACAATATTGCTGACATGAGTTCGTTAATGCACAACACATTGTCAACATTGCAGTCTCATACAATAACAGAATAACAACCGTATGACGAATGCTGAATAGAGTCGAATTATAAATTTTCAGTGAAGGAAGATTGATGGATATGAAAATATTGCTGAACAATTCTTGAAAAATAGTTGACATATCCAGTGGTAGAAGGGAGAGATAAATTCAAGAATAAGTAGCCATACTGTAAAATAAGACACTTCAGAAGTGATTTTCAAAAGACTAGTTTTGTTATACACATGTAAATCATTGTATGTTGTTTCGCATTGTGAATTGCAATTGGGGAAAATGTAAGGACTTTTGAATCAGTAGGTCTGCTTCTGTTGTCAGGATTAACGCAGGTCTCTCAGCCTCCTGTTGTTGACGATTGCAACTACTTCGTTTTCAAACATGTGTATTCGTACTTAATGCACTACCATGACATTTGGTAATGAATACTCTATCAGTACAACGCATTTTGACTAAAGAAACGTTACAAGGAATTATATCACTTACTACATGTGATAATTCTTCTGAAAGCCAATTTCACACTTAACAAATTGCCAACATTTTTAACTATTCTGGTACAAAATGAATGAAACGCTTTTAATGTAATTAACAATAATGTGTAAAATGTATTTATGATGACGTGAATTCGGTGCATAAGATTGCTACTCACTAATATGTAGTGAGAGTGTACTGTATAAATGTATGATTTGTGATACGAATATGATTGAAGCTACTGTTCTTCTTTTTGTTAATCTAGCGGTACTTTATTATTTCGAATACGTTTTTCTGTCATATTTGTTACATAGACATTACGGAACGATGTACAGTGGTTGCGGGGTTTTAGTTGAGATCATAATATTACAAGGTTGATTTATTACTTCTTAATGAGGGAGAATGTTTCTTAGTGAGTGAAATACTTACTTGTCTACTGAAGAGTAATTGAACATGTGTACGCAATATGATGCTGTTTTAAATCTGGTCTTTTGATATATTCGAATGATTCTCCTGTCGTGGTTATTAGCTATAAGATATATTAGTTAGTCTGTTTTTCTTAACTGAGTTTAATGAAGTGCCAATGTGGTGAAGAAAGTAATTTCATCTAAAATCGTAATTTTATTTGAGCGAATATCATTTATTTGACTGAATACTTTTATGTAAAGCTAACATTAGTAATGCAACCACAGTAGAAAAAATTAATTAGAAATTATATAATGCTATTAGAAGACAAAGATTAGTAAAAACCATATAATATATGAGCGTGTCATGTGTTTCGAACAAATTAATAACACCTTTACATAGAAAAACACTAATAAAATAAGAGAAAAACAAAGATACTGATAATAACAGTGTAAATGAAGTCACTCTGGATAATAAATCTATATTACCAATGTAGATTTAGTGTAAGCACACATAGTTTCTGAATACGCGAAGGAGATTTGAACATCCGTAGAGCTAAGGTTTCAGCGAGTATAATGGGTTTCCGTAAACAAGATTTATTGATTACTACGAAGAGTGTGTTCACATCAATCTTACGAAATTATGCAGAATAAACGAACTTTGTCCAGTGGTGGAGTCCGAGGTACATATTTTGTACTGTTTAGGACTTGCTGGATCGATTTATCAGCATCTGGGTTGACGAACCCACTAACTTTCACTTCACATGCTATCGCATTATCCACTTAGTTACTGAGTCCGGATCGTTACTCGTTTGTGTAAACAGTAAGGCTGATTAAATTTCAGTCATAATGTTGACAACGAGGTTTACTCCTTTCATTATGTGTATTAGGATATTTGATTTTGTTTATTTCTGCATCCATTTTAGTCCATATTTAGATAACCTAATGTGCAAGTCATTATTCCTAATAATATATGTATCCACACAGTGTTCTTCAAAAACCAAGAAGGCTATTTATATCAGTCTTATGAACTATTTCAGTTACTTGTTTGGCAGTAGAGGAAGATAGATGATTACTATCTTTTCTTGCCATGAATTAATGAACTCAATGAAATGTTACACAAGGTTTTGACTTTTGGGGAAGTATGCAATTTATTTCTGCAATAATCACTTTCGTTGTATAATGCGTTTTACTTGGGAATGACTGAGATATTTGTTCCAGTACAAGGTCATTTAACTGACGTCTGAATGATAGGGTGATATTGTCAGTGTTTTCAGTGTCATAAGTGTAGTTGGTCTTATCGTACTGTAATTTTCATTTCGATGCATGATTTTTAGAAAATAACGATTTTCTATAAATGTTTGTTTAATATCTTCACCTCATTTTCAATAGTATTCTTTGTACAGATATGGTAAATCATATTGAACATGCTTTTCAACAAACGTAGTTTGCAATGAATTAGTCGATAAATATAGAAAATAAGATACTGGCCTGTAAATATAAGCTTTTTATTGACGAATTATTTGACTGAACCGTCTTCTCTTCTACTTATAGGTATATCTGAAAAAGGAGACCGACAATTCGAATGTAATTTTGAAGACCCTTAAGCTGATTTAATAAGCATTTTACGCTCTGTGTTTCACCACAGACGACTACAATGTCATTTACATATTGCCTTTAAAGTCACATATTTTCGATCATGTCTACAGCTAAGTATTCCACATGTACCATAAACATATCAGATAATAATCGTAGTTACGATCTAACCATATCAACCCGACCAATCTGTCAAAATTATTCACCCCTTTATTAATAATATTCACGTATAGTAGTTTCATAAAGTTTGAATTCATTTTCCTCTCGAATTTATAAACTTTTTTCAATTCAACATAAGACGAATTTAGTTTTACCACTGAAATTGGATAACATCCTACTTTTATAATCACATTTATTCAGTATAATTACCCTTGACCCTTGAGTAGGTTTAGACAGAAAAATCTCAGGATTAATTCGCAATTGCTTTTGTACTTTGAAATGTTGAGAAGTTAATATGCCTCTCTGTTTTGTAGAACTATAGAATCAACGAGCTATTTATCATATATAAAGTCCTTGTCAAGTAATTGCGCGATCACATGAAAATATAGTGCGCTAGTATATTATATAGTTAAGATAAATTTCGTCTTTTGATTGCATCATCTAAATCTAACAAGGAGGCTAACCGATTTAAGTAATTAACGATAAATGACATGCAGTAAAGGCATATCAGAAGATTATATATATATATATATATATATATATATATATATATATATATATATATATATATATATATATATAATTCTAACGAACTCAGTTAAACTAGTTCTTAAAGTCAAAATACCACTCCCAATATCTAGTGAGAAAATCCCAGTCATGATTATTTTTTTGCAATCATGATTTTCTGAAAATTTCTGAAGAAACTCGAAACATGTTACTGAGCACCATACCTTTTCTAAAAGCTGAGACCCTCTAGTTCTCACAGTACAAATGCTTTTATTGAGAGTTTTTAAAATGCTCAACTTCGTATATGCAACGTTTATTTAGTTGTATTTAACTTTACAATAAATAAGAATCCATTTGGTTTTACGTTTGTAGATGTGAATACAAGTAATGTCATCATAAATCCTTGGTAGCGTTTTGCGAAATTTATTTTTTTGTCATTTCAATAAAATTCTCATCACACTATTTCATGTTGTTTTGGATGAGTTTCGACATCATATATAAGTAAGTGAGCGACTACTTTTTATACAGTGAAAAGTTAAACATAAGCAGTGTTGGATGCCAACTTAGTCGTCTAGAGTTTTTGGCGTTCGAACGCTAAACCGAAGGTTCTGGTTTTGATCCCTGTATGAAGAATCATGGAAACAAATTGCTGAGTACTAGCACCAAACAGCCATCTAGTTCTTCCAGGTCTTTAACGGTGGTCTAGCTAAGATTGTTCGTGATTTAAAAGGTGGAAAATATAATTGATTTGAAATGCTGTTTATATTGAGCATTACATGAAATATCAATAAAGTAACAGTAAATAAACGAACATTTCAAAATTCACAAGCAAATTTACCAGAGAATTTCTAATTTTTCACTAACTCATCTAGTCAGTTGATAATATCTACATTTATTTTCATAAAATTTTTCCAGTGGATGTGTTTCACACCGAAATATTTCACAACATATCGTGTATTTCTGGCAATTCTTTTGTTAGTATGGATTATATACGATAGTGTTACAGAAACAATGAGACATTTCGATCATTCTGAATATAGTTGGATCACATATGGTACAAACTGGGCATTTCTGATACTTACCATAATTCATATATCACTAGCTATCTACTGCTTGATTTACAACATAAAATGTAAGTACTTTTATTTATATAATTAGATTACATTTAAATCGTATATTTATAAAAGTCAACTTTTATGAATGTTGCAATTTAACTACCTTCCATGCATCAGCAATGTAAGTTATAGCAACTTAAACCAAATAGTTTCAAACAAAAAAACAAAAACAGAAAACAAACAGAAGATTTCTAAGAGAAAATATCTTATAAGGCTTGGAGACGTTGTAAATGATAAAAGTTTATGTAATTAGTGTTTAATGAACTTTTTCTATCATCAAAGTTGAAAAACATTTTCATGAATTGATAATGAAACTGGTTTAAGGTAGCGAAAGTACTTAAATATTGATAAATTCCAGTAGATCAATCTCGTTATCGGATATCAAGATAAAATATCCTCATTTTGTGTAAGGGAAGTAAAAGCTTTATTAGATTTTCAAATGACATTTATATTCATTTCACTAATTTGGACAAAATAGTCATAAATAATCTTTATATTGGGAACACGGATCAATATTATTAACTTACAGTGTTAACATAAATCACTGAATCTGAAATAAGTAGTCGATTGCCATCTTTTCTTGCCAGACTATTTTATTTTGTTTGTTTCAACATCTTCAGGCAATGGCACGTGCAAATCACTGTTACTTCTACAAATCAATGTACCCATACACATATAAACTAATGAACTCAATGAAATGTTACACAAGGTTTTGACTTTTGGGGAAGTATGCAATTTATTTCTGCAATAATCACTTTCGTTGTATAATGCGTTTTACTTGGAAATGAATGAGATATTTGTTTCAGTACAAGGTCATTTAACTGACATCTGAATGATAGGGTGATATTGTCAGTGTTTTCAGTGTCATAAGTGTAGTTGGTCTTATCGTACTGTAATTTTCATTTCAATGCATGATTTTTAGAAAATAACGATTTTCTATAAATGTTTGTTTTATAGCTTCACGTCATTTTCGGCATTCGTACAAATTAAATTAATCGTATCAACTAAATCAGTTGTCCAGTTATCGTGTACGCAAAAATTATCGGTTGTTTTTGAACTGTCATCGTTATGAATATGTAAACGATAACCTGTAAATGAGAACATTGACCGTTATAATCTGCTCAGTGCAAAACACAGCGTTGAGCGCAAGGTAGGTTTTTGTAACAAACAGAGATCATCAACCGCCGAATACAATTGAATATGGTCGCTCCATAACGTTAGACAATCAAAGCATTGGACGTTACCTCAATGATCTAGAGATCAAGCCATCGAACTCTCGACCGAAGGTCATGGATTCCATTCCACCTGGCGATTTTGAGGAGGAGCACGATTGAACGTCCAGAAACTTGTCCAACCGCTCTTGGTTTTCAGTAGATTTCTAACTTGCGTCTGTTCGGGACATCAGGAATGTTGAATAATGTTCACAAACCTCTGTGCTAAAAGCAGAATTTAGCCAAAGGATAAGTAAAACCAATGGATTTTTGTGTAGCCAATATATCATTATTTGAGACAACTCAACAATTTTTACTCCATGGATTCCTCACAGAATCGAATTCAAGATTTTCTGGGAGACACATTTTTTCTGACTACTCATGCCTCACATGTCCAACTTCAGTAAAATTGAGATATTAGAGAATCATTGAATTCTGACTTACTGGTCTAGAGAAATTGAACTTCCAGTGAGGACTGAAGCTGCCAGTGCGACGCCGTGGTATGGTAGCGGGTGCATACTTTCTATGAATCTCATGTTAAGATGCAACAATTACTCAATACTCTCCGGTTTTTAATGGTTCTTCTGAGATGTTAGTTCACGATGAAAACTAGAGTCAAAGAGAACAGTTTTTGAGGATTCTTTTCCTCTTAATCAACCACTCAATGACATGAACCTTGAACGTTGATTTTAGGTAGAACACTTTTCTAGTGAAACATACAGTCAATAGAGTTTACATATGATAGGTATATGTGAATATCGACCAGAAAGAATAAAGTGGAAATCGTGGTATTTCTTAATTACAATATATTTCATTAACCCTAACTCTAGTTATCGGTGTATTTTTGAGTAAAGCACTATAAAATTAATGTATTCTACAAACTGAATTTTCACTAATTTCCACTGATTTACGGTTACACATAGATCCTAACAATGAACCAAGATATTATCAATTGATATGGTTTCTGTATAATTTATCATCAACATGTATACTTGTGGTTTCTGTCATATTTTGGTTTTCATTGTCGACCATTCCATTGAGTAAGCTAAATGATAATTATTTTACGTTCCAACGAGTCTATTTATTTATTAATAAATTTTTATTTAACTTATCTAGTCCAGACCTTCTAAAAGTTGAATTTAGTTCCGATAATGAACTGAAATTAACTAAACAACTGCTGAGGATCAGTTTTTCTTTAACAACTTTTGGGTGACTGAACACTAACAAATGATGTGGAATTAGAACGTCGGAACCATTTGTATCCTGTATTTTTGAATGGCTTTTTAGTTAGTTACTCTTCAATGAAAACAATCTTAAACCTTTCTTCTATGTGTATGCATATATGTAAAAACTGAATGTTACTTGAAGAATTGCAACTTTATATAACAATGGGGATGTAGTGATATACTGATTAAAACTGACGGTTAACTTAATTGAAAGTTTATTTCACTATGATCCAAGTTTAAATATCATGAAAAAAGTACATCTATTAAACACTAAGGGTGAAAATAAAACTGTAGTAATAGGTTAAATAAACAACATAATCACAAGTTTCAGAACCTATTATTTGGCTGACTGAAAATTCAAATAGGTGTAATTTTCTATCTTTTTATGTCGGGGATACTAAATATTCTTCCTGGTTCAAAATCTACTGATTTTGATATTTATAGAAATTTGCTAAAACATATACGTATTGTTATACCGCACAAATTTCAGGAATTGTTTATATAAATCCCTTAGTTTGTATAGAATAACGACTGTCTTCATCAGTTTAATAAATTAAGTGAAATTAAGTGACTATTCGGATGAAGGTTCTCTAGATTTGTAAAACTCATCTGAAATTTTGTCTTCTATAGCATTCATAACGTACGTATCATCATGAACCTCACTGTTATCAACCGCAAATACTTTAATATTTCTGATAATTCTCAAACTTGAAGGGTGATTATCAATATGTTAACAGGAAAACCAAGTATTTTAGATGATTTTTGTGAGATAAATGACGTGACCTTCAATGTTTCATCCACTTTCTCCAACCTATTTAGCATGCTTTATTAATTTTTTTATCTAATTTTTGTTCACTGAGTACTGGCTAATGTTATATTTTGCTTGGTGAAGACGCTAAAAAAACGGATAGTCTATGATGGCCTTATGTAATCGTAAAGCAATCACTGAATTGAATTTCTCTCCCACTAAATCTGATACATTGCTTCAGGATTGCTTTGCTTCAATACCCGAACAGGTCACAACGAGGGAAGTAAATGAGGACATTGATTTGAACTTGAAAATGAGCATGATAAACTGATTCATGACTAATGATATTCCGTTTTATGATAAAAGTCACTGGGCTTTAATTTACTCACTTCTATTCGAAATGACCTTATTTGTTAAAATATAATTCCACGGTTATTTTATGTAGATTTATTAGATGAACATTCCAGAAAACAAGATGGTTGGACAGAAGGTAGAGACAAGAATCCTTTGAAGTTACGGAACTGTGACTATGTGTTATGTATGCATTGTTAAGAAAGTAACAGAATTACAAAATCTCAAATGATGGAAAGAATGGGAATCTTATAAGAATTTTAAGTAGTCAGATCATAGGGCATAGGGAGCCGTGAAGTTGTGCTATTGTATCATCAAGAAGACGAAATGATATCGAAATGTCTGTAGACTAACAACTGGTTGTTCATCAAGCCATAGATTCATTTCTGGTCTCTTGATAACCGTCGCCTCATAGGAACGCAATAATTAGGGTTAATAATAAGTTTGAATGACTTAGTTCTGTTATTGTTGAGTTGACATATAATCATACTGATAAGGATTTGTACAACCCATAGTTGCGGATGTTTTCAGATATTCTTAGATACAGAAAGGTGTGAAACAGGTAAGTGAAAAAGATGAGAGCCCACAAATTCGTGTGTGACATTATAAAACTGCTTAATTTGAAACAAGGTGTTATATTAATATATAGTGTAATGATAGGGCCAATTAGAGAACAGAGAATTATCGACCGGACCAATGACACATAAAACCGCCTAGAGTCTTTATCGGTCCTTCTTCCTGTCTAGCTCTGCCTGTTAAGTCAAGAACACAAATCTCAGCCTGCGCGATATGAATCATGTATTTCAAACATACTGGGTTTATTACAAACCAAACAGATCACAGCGTACCATAAAATAGAAAACAACATTTGTACAAGATCTAGCCCAAAGTGGTTGTGAATGTAGGAGACTGTAATTAATAGATCGGGCATAACTCAAGAACAGTTAATCCTATAATAATAGTCTATGGGTCGAAATAAAGCAATAAAGCATTTATACAGTAAATATATATGTATCGTATTTGTCCATCAATGGTTCTCAAGAGTTACCGTTCGTAACTCTCGTCGGAATACAAAAGAAGGCTAACTGGAGTTCTGTCGACATGATAGTCTGACAGACAGTGTGTTTAAAGTAAACCTAGATCAAGTATCCTCAATAATTTCTATTATTCGATTGCCTGCAATATGAGCGAAAATCAGTCTGTATAGAAATCATCAGAAATTTAACTGATACAATTAATAACATCATTCGAGTATAAAATTAACCGATTCCTTTGCTGTCTGTAATTTCGTCAATTTGCAACGTAATGTCTCTTTGGGTCACGGAAATAACTAAATTTTCACTAACATACATAAGTCTGGTTGGCGGTGAATTTTCATTTTGACTTTGTATATTTGATTTACAGATGTATTCGCAAGTTGGCAGAGTCGAGTTAAACATTCATTGACTTCAGTCTTGGTCGTAATTGACACATGCCTTTGTGCTATTCCGATGCGAATGATACATGTCATTTATCCTTGCCTACTCGCTGTGATATATAGTTTATTCACATATTTGTTTTGGTTACTCGGTGGTGCAGGTCCTTATAATAAAGGACAAATTTATCCTTCCATTGATTGGAGTAAACCACAATCAACAATACTAACCTGTTTTAGTGCTCTGATGTCTGTTATTTTATGTCATGTGAGTTTGATTTTTATAATAATGTTAGATCTGAAAACGTGTTCAATTTGATGGATAATATGGCTTTACGATCAGTCGATCTAGCTTAGAGATCATAACAATCAGTAATGTTTACTATTCTTAATTATTTAAGTGATTCGTTTCGTTAATAGGTTTGACGAATTTGTTCTCAGAGACTTTATGAGGAAGTCAAACGTGTTCGATTATTTTTGTTGACTATGATAATTTATTTTCACATTTTGACAATAAATGCTATTATATCACACTTGAAGTAGAATTTTATTGACATGATATAATTTTGTTTGTCAATGGGGTTATGCATGAATATCGGAAATTTGTGTAGTACTTACTAGAATAAATAGTTGTAAATTGCTTAAACTAATCAACTTTTCTTGTTAGCCCTATCATAAAAACAGAATGACTACTTGGTTTGTTCACTACCTGTATATATTGTAAATAAAATCATCCACTTGTGTTTACGAAAATATTACGCAAACGTTTGTGCAACTTCAATATCACAACAGTGCTGATCAGTCGACCAAACCTTGAAGACAAATCACTCAAACTAATAATAATGTAACTTTTCAGTTTTATTTTGAGGTATAAATTTGAATGTGGATACTGTCTAAATAATTCTCATTATTTCTTGATGAAATTTTTACTTTCTGATATTAAGTGTTGTATGATAAGGTGCTGTTTAAATAAATAAATGTTCTTCTGAAATTAGGTCAAAAGTGTTACGCAACTTATGTTTTTGAAATTTTGGACTATGTTTGATAAGGATTTTCGAGGGTCTTGTTTAGTGTAGACCATAAAGGACTTCTACACCACTGTGGTATTTGACTCCTTCATACATGGTTGCGCGCTTACGACGAATACCAAATGTAATACGTCCATTTGTGCCCATCTAGTTCTACCTGCCTTAAATTGCACTATTTCGGAAATTTTTAGTTAGTAGATCAGTCCAAATACTTCTAATTATCATAACCGCCTGATCAATACCGAAAATATTTAGCTGTGTTATTATGAACGGAAGTGGAAGATTAGCATGATAATTAACTTCGATTTTGATTTATCAAGGTGTTACAAAAACGTTAATGTTAAGGAGTTGCAAAAAAAATAGGAGCTATATAAGTCCCTCTCATGGCCTTTCGAAATGTTCTACGTGTTATATTTAGATGATTTAGGCTTGAGTATGTATTTTAGTTTCATTATTGGTGTATCAGTTTGAAGTTAGTATTATGTAAGGTAGATTTCTTGTATGACGTTGTTAGAGATGAATTCATTTAATTATGTGATTTTTTCTTTTTTATTTAATAGGCCATACTTTATATAATCTATTTCATTCGAGTGAATATAAGCGCTAAATTAGGTGGTCGAGGTTTCATGCTCATTAAAGAATCGAAGGAGCAACAGTGTTATGACAATGATGAATTTGATTTGAGCGAAGAGATCAGTGAGGATGGCAAGCAAACTTTCCAGATAAGGAAGATACAAAATCCACAAACAATGTATCAAAAATATGGTACAGTTGAATAGAACATTATTTCTTCATACACGTAGTGTGTAAACCAAATTTTCATATGGTTATCTTTAAAGAAATTGCTGAACATTGATTTAGTATGAGGTGGATACTATTTGTTAGTGTCGTATTCATTTCTATTATCCGATGTTAGACTGTTTCCACTTCTTATACTGAAAATGCGCTTCTAATAAATACCGACCAGGATAACGAGGCATGTGTTTCACCAATCGAAATTTCGGCCCTTTTTATAAATCCAAATCAGATATAACAAAGAACTGTCATTGGTTAAATATACTCTTTGAGATTACGGTCACTTATTGACGAAGTCAAGGCCGGAACCAGCCTAAATCTGAAACCATTTTCGCAATATGGAATTTTGAATGGTTCTGTTATTCTATCTTAATGATATTGTTAAGTCAAAGGACAATATTTGGCTTACTTGCCTAGTAATTCCTTTGATGAAAAAATGAGTTCCAGGGCCACTGATGTTATCTGTATGAGATTTCAAATATCACCATTTGATATTAATCCAACTTACAGAAATGACTGTTCACTAACACTTAGCTTCTCCTAAATCCTACTTTGTTTTATTTACAGCATAAAGTCCTACTAGGGAATCACTCCAATAAGCTCGTTTATTTTGAATATTGAATACGAGTCGGAACACATCTTATATGCTTCAAAATTTTCCTCTACAACTAATGAGTTTGCTGAATGCTGTTTACTTCACACATTTGAGGATCTGAGACAGACAATACAAAGTGATGACTCATTGCCATAGATATGTAAACATCGAATAAACCACAATATCCACCTTGTGATAATCTAAAGATATAGCATAGTGACTTCGACGAGTTGTATTATAAGCGGTGTTCTCACATATTCCAACTTTGTTCGGGTAATACTGAAATGACTCACACAAATATTTCACTCAATGTTGAGCAAAAAACCTTGTGGGTGATTGGGTTGCATTAATGTTTATTCAACGGCTTGGATACATGACTCCTGAAAAAATGCCACTGAAGATAACTGTATGTACGCAATTATAAGTGTATTCACATCACCCTGTGAATGGTGTTCATATCAAACGTACAAGTTTAAATGTGTCAGTCACGTTGTGCAATGGTTGAAAATTAGACAAAACAGTCGGTCCTTAGTTCATTGGATAGCGCACTCACTACTCACAAAATTTTCATCCTTCAATCGTTTAAGACATACATCTGAGCATATCTACTTTATGATTGAGATTTCGTACAAAAACATGTTATGTTTTTACACGGAAAACTTATTTTTCTGGCCGGCAGTCTTGATTTCGATATCGGTTTATTCATATGATTGGATCATTAATCCGGCACTGTGAATAAATATATTTTATAGTGGTTTAAGTAGATTACAACAACCCGATTCTTAATTTTTTTGGCCAGTGATGTGAAGTAATATAGAGTGAACACTATTTTAAACTGAACATTACCTTGGATTCATTATACTTTAACTGGTAAACTCATACGTTAATCAAGATAAATCTAGGTCATTCACAAGGCGCTTTTACTTAGTTATCCAAAAGGTAACCAAGATCGCATTATTGTCACAGTGATATCGAAGTATTGATATTATGTTTAGTTATCTAGGATGTGAAATTAGATGCACCACTTTCTACACATCCGGCCGAGTCAAACGCTTTGAGCCAACAATAATGTAAATTATCAGGGGAATGATTAGAGCGGTTTACATCTTGTGAAGAAGACTGAGATTACAAACAAAACAATTGCGAAAAATCTCAAAAGGTAAGGATGCTGGATTTTCCCACTATAAGAGGAACTTTCATAGCACATACGCGTTGGAGCTTAAGCTTATGATTCTGTCTAAAATGAGGGTTAAACGTAGAAAAAGCGCAATACATGGTATAACAGAATCGTTAATTTTTGTATGAAGTAAAACCAAGCAGAATCAATCTGCGAGTATACAAACATCATTGTTTAGTATAAATTACAAATAAACAGTAATTGAAAAATGAAATTCTAATACATAAATGAAAAACATCTTAACTTGGTTTATTCTTAGGAAAGTATTATTAAACGATAGAGAGAAAAATAGTATGATCGCTTGATAATGAGTGAAATATGAAACATGAGGATGAATTACAAACAGAATGTGGAAGCATAAAAGCTTTTCACAGCAGTGATAGAGAATTAACAGTTCATAAAACAAAATTGGTAACTGGAGATGCAATTAAAAATACAATTTTACTATGATAATAATATATGTAGTAAACAGGAACTTGAAGACAATACAATTCTAGATAGGATTATATATATACGAAAAGAAAATGTAGATTTATTGATCTTATTTCCACCTTAAAATTAGATTGAAAAGTAGAAAAATGAAGATTAATAGCGTTTATGAACAGGGAAAACAAACTTAAGATCTGTTGTTTGCATTACGATTATCAGTTGGAAAAGTCAATTTCTAAGTGAGAATACATGATACAAGGAAATAATCAAATGATTAAGCATTCGTATGTATAAATATATTTGACAAGATAAACAGAGGAAGCAAGTAGATAAACACGTACATTGAGAAACTACAAGTGTGCGTTCAACGGAACTTATCGTAGAATCAAGAAACTGAATCCGTCGATTGGTCGGCCAGCGAGACTGACGTTTGAGGCCCACTAACGAAGGCCAACTAGGAAATTGAATGAACATAAACATATACAACGAAGTGGTCACTGGCGAAAATACTAATTAAACAACAAGCAATTAGTACAAAGAGAAGATTACGGATAGCCAGTTGAGTATTGAGAATATAACACGTGAAACAACTGTGATTTTAATTAAGGATAACATTTTTTCAAGAAAATGGTTGAGGGCAAAGAATAACTGAGAAATCGGATTGAAAAGGGAGAGCTATAGTTCTCGTAAGGTTATGTTGATGCAAAATATACTTAGAATCACAGTCCTGTGATTGCAGGAGATAAATAACATCTTCCTGAGGTGATTCTTGATAGTGAAGTCTCGTGACTTATTCTACGGCTATCCTTACTGATTCCAAAGCTTGCTATAACTAATCTGAACATATTGATGGATAATTATGTACAACATTACGCTACTTAACTGCACATATACCCATACGGGGAACGAGAATCACTGGGTGATAAGTACTTTGAACAAGCTATTCTGCATAGTTTAAAAAACTACTTACTTAAATATCATCTAGGTAGTATTTGATAAATGCGGAATATCGCTTGTAATGTACATCTCGTTTTAAAGAGTGCGGTATTCTATTATCTCATACACATGTAACTAGTACAACACAAATACACGGTGGGATGGTCGCTCATTGCTTAAGGTGTTCGGTTTCTTGTCATTAGGTTGCAGGCTTAGGAATCCGTCCACCTATTTCAGCATGAGAGACTGGAAAATATCATTAACCATGAAACTTAGTACAACTCAAAGCAGAGTGCATAATCCTGTACCTGGCAAATAAGTTAATAATGATAAACAAATGAACAAATTATTACGGATAAACAGTTATGAAAAAGTACTGTGTAACTAATATCAATTATTTTAAAAAAATAAATCACTCAACAGTAAAAGACATTCGGGGTATGGAAGCACTTTAAATCCATGCTCAGACTTACAGGAGTTGATATTGGCAAAATAATTGTAGTCCCTAAAGAAGAAGACACAGGGGTACCTAGGGTAGTCATTCCTGCATTTGCTACTTTGATATCTGGAGTCGATACGGAATGAACATTATTGTTTTGTATATCATTTGAGCCGTTAACTACAGCATACTGTCTGCCAGCCAGGGATCGTGAAGGTATGTTGGTTAAACCACTGGGGCCAGTTGATAATAGTGTTGGACTCAAGATCACAGCCGAACCAACCGCTGAGGGGACGGTAGACATTGTGGTGGGAACAGATGATTCATCAATGAATGAAGACTCAAGTTTGCTAATCTAAGTATAGGAATTCACACAAATCACTGATACTCATAATGACTTACATGGATAATGAAAATAGTGAAAACGAAAAAGATATGAGTAAGCCAAATTTGAAATGGAAGTGGTTTACAATTTTCTCCCATCACCTAAATGTGAGTACATTTTAACTTACGCTGAGAATACATGCTTTCTATACTGTCATTTCGTTCGATGAATCTCGTGTCATATCTGCTTTTACTCACTTTCAGTAACATAACAAACTGAAACGTAATCAAAGCACCACGAATGTTAAAATATAATGCATCTGTGAGCATCACGAGATTGTTTTATCGTATTCCTAACTGGAATCCTGAATGCAGACTTAATACAACTACAAATCTACCGCAAAATGCAGATGAATCTATTCTTGTTTTATTACACAAAAATAAGTCGTTTTATATGTATCTGAAATTAAAATAACACAGACACAAATCTTCATATAGTAGAAATGGAGCTAATTAGTAATCTGATGTTACCTAAGTTTGTGAGTGGCACAATAAATTCCACACATTGCAGCTAATAAACACTTTTAAATAGACAACAGCACAGACCATCAGTTTGAGATAAAAACAAATAACAGTTAAGATACAGCCCGAGCTCCCAAGTTTGGGGAACTTTGGGGAATTCTGAGGAAATCCTCAGAGCCAAGTGACCTTGACCAAGGTCAAAGGGGAATTTCCCCAAAGTTCACTATAGCGGCTTCTCCAAAATGGGTCAAGTTTTCCCCAAAATTGGGAGCTCGGGAGACACACAGAAAAACAACTATTACATTTATTCAGGTGTACCAATTCGCTACAGCCATTTGACTAAACAAGTGATGTTTGTTAAATGGTTTTTGTTGTTTCTGTAGATGCTAGCGTTACTTAGTATGAAGAATATAAGAATACGACTAGTCCATGAATGATTACAACACGCTATTTTAGGTGTTAAGTTACTCATCATGACACCTCAAATATAATAATGAGCAAGGACTAAATGTCGATATAGATCTTGTATTCCATATTTACCTACAAATACAACCATAACGGCAAAAAATGAAGATAATGAAAGAAAATCAATTTTCGCCCGTCGGCAACAGTCAAAATGGTCAAACAACCTTTGAAAATATGAATTTCTAACAGTTTCTCCTCAATACAAGCATCGAAGTACAACCAAAAGCACAGATGGCTAGTAAAAATTTAAATTCTGAGTATTTTATCAGTCAGTCAGTAACAACGTAGAACTTCGTACATGCATACATCAGTTCAAGTTGCCATATCACATTAGCAAAGAGATACAATTGTCGATTCAAACCCCATAGTGGTAGAGGTAGTAAAAGTATAAGCAGTAATCGGAGAATTAAGGTTTGAAGATGTTATCCAAGGAGTATAATTTAGTGAAATAAATTTGGGAAGAGAAAAAAAGGACATGAAGAATTCAGAAGATTAGAATTTGGGAAAACACAAAGAGTGGATGCACCCGCACCTAAGTATTTTATATTGTATTATTGATCTGTCTAGGTAAGATAGTGAGCAAAGAAGACATTTTCAGTCAACTAAACTGCGCGAAACTTGAGAAACTCATTGAATATTTTCGATTACACCAGGTTATAAACATTAAACGTTACAAAAGTATGACAAATAACAAAGGACTTAGCTAATGTTATAATGAGGGAGTAGTGTTTATTTCCTGAATTGATGTAACATATAAGCAAGTGAGAACCTACTTAAACCGTACTAAGAAAGTAATAACCAAAAAGAATAAACATTAAAAGACAGAACAAGTAAGAGGCAAGTCAATATTCAAACAAAATTGAATCCCACTATAAGAACAAGAAGGATGAGGGCGATGCTAGGAAGTCGCTCAGCCAACTATGGTGATAAAGACATGAAAAAAACGGAAAAAAGGCAATACTTTTTTCAAACAAATAATAACGCTCTAAAGTCCACAAGTAGTAGTACTTACTTCACGAAACTTGACTAGAAACGCTCTAAGTGGTTCAATGTAATTATCGAAGCCAAGTGTATTCATAGCACACAGAATGTCTTCACCGTTAATAGTTTTACGCTTTTCAGTTTGACACTTATCAGCAGCTCTGTTTTCATATAAAAATAATATAAAGAAACTAACTCGCTAGTGATGAAACTGATAAACTCTGATACACATTCTTGCACACATTCTTTAGCATCTTTAGCAATCTGAAAAACATAAAACGGATTTACTGACACTATTTAATAGAATACTTTTCCATTCCCAGGTACTGCTCTTTTCATTATTTTAGCAACATTAGCTATTGGCAGAAAACGGTCCTTCCAAAATATTAAATTTTAGCATTACAACTAACTTGCTCACGAAGTGGTGATCTTTGTTCGATATCACCCGCTTGATAGTCTGCATCATGATCTTGCAAAGAACCATCTAGACCCTCATAATACGAAGGTTCTTGATAACTAGATTCTTCACCCTGACTGTCTGTGCTGTGCTCCATAATACTGAAACGGTTAAATGAGATAGTAAGTTTGATGAACTCGATTAAGAAAATATAAGTCGGTAGTATCTTTGCTAAAGAATAACAACTACATACCAAGTACGGAAGTGAATCTGTTCATGTAGCTGTAATTTTGTTTGGGCAAGTTATGAACAATTCATTACCTGTACATTTCTAGCTGAAGTGAAAATAGTACAAAACAGGAAACAATCATATTGAAAATTTTCTAAATAATGAGGTCAGTGACTGTAAATGCTACCTTAGAGAGTTGTTTGCCTGTCATGATGACCTAATAGAGTTAAACTAACTGGAACATTTGTTTCCTCAAGTTCGAAAATGACAAGCTGTTTGTTTGGGGAGTGGCAGGTCGAAGGGCGAAGTAGTACTGGTATTGGTGTGACGACAGTAAGGTGTCTTCTCCCAGACAATCGGGATCTTTAGTGACCCTGCCTTTACAAAAAGAACGAGGGATCAGGTAAAGTCGACCTTAAAAGTACCAAGCCTCACCGTGAGAAACAGATTTTCACTGAGGCGGTAGGACTTTGAAGATATCAAGATAGCACAACAGAGACTGCTCAGTGAAACTGTGATCGGCCTCAAGCAGCCGTCTTGTGGGCTCTATGATCACGCTTTGCGGTCGTAACAACCCATAGACCAGTTTACCGTACCCATACCTCTGGTAAAACAATCTAGTTTTGTTCACAATCGAATTTTCCATTCGCTTCCTTCGATTTCGAAATGGATTGTACTTGCCACCAATGGTAACGGTCCGAGTTTACGAAATCATGTATCACATTACATCAAACTGCTGTAAAGTTCAACGTTCGAATCCTGCCGAATCTTAGCATATCCACCTACGATGAAGTTTGGCTATTACGGAGAGCCAACATGAATTACTCTTCGCGTTTATGGAGATCCACAGCAAACCGACTTACCCCTAAATAATATGACACCGTACGCCCATCTTAAAGAATATTTGGTAAAATTAAGTTGCACAGACAACCGATAATTACCGACCTATTGTGGCAAGTGATTAGAATGTTATGTAAAAGTGTATCAAAAATTTGGTTACCTTATTTAAGAGGAAAGAGTAAGAACCAAAAAATCTCGTCAGTTTCAAAAAGTATAAATAGGAAGCCAGATGAAACATGTTAATCCCTGCAATCTATAATACTATGAAGACAAAGTTTGGCTTCAGACGCAAAAACGGAGCTGCTGATGTGGAAGATAACTCCAGCAATTTTCGACGCCGCAAACGTTAACGATTTGACTTAGATCCTAGAACTCTTTGAAACTAGACTGCCAGATGATCGTTAGAAGTAAAAGGGATAAATTACAGTAATACGAAGAAGTGCGGTTAATAAGAATAAACATCTGAAAGCATTTTAATAACAGACTGTATACACACTATATATCTTTGGTGGGAATGGTCTACGTATGAAGTCACTTAATTTATAGAAATTCCATGAGTTCTAGGAAAGCCCTTATTTACTCATACTTCTAACTGTGCGAACGAAACAATATTCTGAAAATGAGTCGAGGGATTTTTGTACTTGTTGTGATTATACTTGCTTTGGGTACTTATTGCACCAAAAAGCATTCTTGGTCTACTTTAACTAGAAGTACTTTGGTTAAAGTTTGAAATTTTTTGCTAAATTTTGTCCTGGGTACCATTTTTAACTCTTTGACTAACACCTGTGTTCACTTTGTGTTTTTAAACCTTTTAAATCTCATTACAATGGTTGGTAAGACTCACAAATGTGGGCAACCAAATTGTTTGTTCCCCGTTGAGGAGGGAATGCAGTGTGATGACTGTAAAAAGTGGTACCACAAAATGTGTACACGCGTAAGTCCGATGGCATACAAAAGATGCTCGAAGCCTAACTCGCATTGGCTTTGTATGTTCTGCTGTACGGATAAAAAGGTGCTAATTAAGGAGGCTATGGGCCTATTGGCTTTGATCTGCAAGAAAAACGATGACACATGCGCTGACAACACCGGCACTGACAGTGACGAATGTGTCAGTGTAGTATCTGCTGTTACGCGACGACTCAGACAACCGACTCTGACCGACGCAAAAGTGAGATCTCCTTTAACATTAACAAGGGGAGTAATACCACCTGGTACTGACATTGATAACAATGCATCTTTAGTGGGAACTGACGAACTGGATAAAACCATCACCGTTCCAAATAGTCCCAATGTCCTGAGGGATGAAAAATGGACTACGGTACGTAGGAAACGAAACGAAAGGAAAAAAGCTGTAGGCAGTATACAGGTAGTTAGTAACTCACTGATGGACTCTCATTGTGAGTCACAAACTTCACTACCAAAATCTGATGGTAAGAGTGAAACCCATCCTGGCGTGACTGAGAAGAGAAATCGAATAACAGCTAAAACTAATGACTGTTTACTTGATAAGTCCTTGGTGGACTCTCAGACCAATCCGCCAAAGCTCCAAAGTAAAGCTTCGTCTAACACTGTTGTGAGTCACTCACAGGACTCTGTTGCAAAAAAAGCTAATCGTAAAATATCAGTAGTTAATATACAGGATCTATCGTCACGGTCGAAAGCTGTTAACACAGTTTCAAAGGAAGCTAAACCCCTTCCTAGTTTAATTATTTGGAATCTAGAGGAGTCGAAAGATAACGACCCTGCTAGAAGACATGCACATGACCTGCAGTTAGTGGAGTCTGTGGTAAGAAATGTACTACCTGAAGAGGTTTCAGGGGTACATATTACAAAAGTAATACGACTTGGTAAATGGGTTGGAGGCGAGACCCAACCAAGAAGGATCCTGAAGCTGGTTCTCGGGAGTTTCGAAGAAAGAGACATATTATTGAAAAGCGCACAAAAACTCGTGACTCAAATATCCGTATTCGACCAGATTGGCCGCTTGAGGATCGAATCAAGTGGAAGAATGCTCTTACGGAGTTGAGGACTCGCAAATTAAATGGCGAAAATAACCTTACCATTAAGGGTTTTCGGGTAGTCAGGTCTTGGAAGCCAATGCTTCCGAGGCCTGTATGGGTAGAACGATTGATTTCCAAAACACCTTAAGTGTGTGCTACACGAACGCTCGTAGTCTTAGAAATAAAACGTCCGAGCTAAGTCTGATGGTGCAAGAATTATGTCCCGATATAATCGTTGTTACAGAAACTTGGTTCACCGTAGATATAGACTGTTCTCCTTTCATTGCTGGCTATATCTGTATCAGAAGTGATAGAGTTTCAAGTCGCAAGGGGGAGGGGATCACTTTCGTATACAATCAACCATATCGGAGGCTCATATCAGTGGCACATGTGAGGTTGCATGTTGTAAGATTAAATCTAGAAATGGGTTAGTGACTATAGGGGGAATATACCGTAGTCCGTCTTGTCTTGCTGACGACTTTATCCTAAGACACATCTGTTCTTGGAGTATGGCAGAATGTTGTCTCATCATTGGGGACTTCAACGCACCGCATATCAACTGGATAGAGCTTACAGCTCCAGGTAGTGGTTTCGATAGCGACCTTTTATCTACCGTTATTCAGTGTGCACTTGTACAATGTATCACAAAACCGACACATATTGATTTCAATCATGATCCGTCACTGCTGGACCTCGCCCTCACCCACCACTCTGAGGATGTCTTTGATATCCAGCACCTTCCCCACTAGTGAACAGTGATCACGTTGTAATTCACTTTAAGTTTAGGACACATGGTATACAATTCGTATCTGCTCCACCCCGTCCCAATATCTGGCGAGCTAATATTCCGGAAATCAGAAACTGTGCTATCTCGACTGATTGGTCGGTCGACGCGGATGGATTGATCGAAGATGAATGGAATAAGTTTAAGGCTACATTCGAGTCCGTAACGTCGCCGTTTATCCCATGGTCAGCACGTAAGCTATCACATTGCCCTCCATGGATTAATAAGGAAACCCGGAAGCTGTTAAAGCGTAGGAAACATTTCTGGGACTTATTCTTGTTGACAGGTCATGCACCATTTAAGCGTGAGTACCAAAAATACCGTAATATCTGTAAGAAAACCATAGCCAAATCCCGTACCACTTACGAACGACAGTTAGTATATGATAGCCGTACTTGTCCGAAACGATTGTTTTCGTATGTTAAACGGCAGATGAAACGTAGTGATGGTATTCCCCCGTTACTGTTACACGAAAATTCAGAATTACTAGCTGAATCAGATCGAGCAAAAGCTGAGACTTTTTCAGACTATTTTAGCGAAGTCTTCTCTACGTTTATTGTAACAAATACTTGTCCCACTCACACCGAGATACCAACCATTGAATCTGTACAGGTGACTGAGGAAACTGTCCTTCCGTTGATAACTAACCTCAAACCTGGTAAGATACCGGGCCCTGACGGGTTACATCCACGGTTGCTGTCATCTCTTGCGGACATTATTTCAAAACCGCTTGCGACACTCTTCAACATGTCCCTCTCACTCGCTCAACTCCCTAGAGATTGGAAGGACGCTATAGTTAGTCCTATATTTAAGGACGGTCAGAGACAGATAGTATCTAACTACCGGCCTGTCAGTCTAACTAGCATAGTCGTTAAGTTACTCGAAAAGATAATTCGGGTTAGGTTGCTAAGCCACATAGATTTACACAATCTGTTAGCTCCTGAGCAACACGGATTTCGTAACAAGCGTTCATGCTTGACTAACTTGCTTATTGCGAGGGAGGATTGGACAGCAGCCCTAGATCACGGTCTGTCTGTCGACGTGATATTCATAGATTTTAGCAAAGCGTTTGACAAGGTTTCACACGTAGGTCTTATGCAGAAGCTCACGAGCTTCGGAATAATAGGTACTGTACATGAGTGGATAGGAAATTTCTTATGTGACCGCAGACAGAGAGTTAGGGTCAATGGAACGCTATCCGATTGGAAGCCGGTCAAAAGTGGTGTACCCCAAGGCACCATCTTAGGCCCTCTGCTCTTCCTTCTCTACGTTAATGAGTTACCGCTGTTACTTAGGTCGTCGACATTATTGTTTGCGGATGATGTAAAAATCTGGAGAACAATAAAAAGTGCGGCTGATCATGTGGATCTTCAAGCTGACTTAGACGATTTAGTTAGATGGGCTCGAGAGTGGGGCTTAGAAATCAATGCTAGGAAGAGTGTACTAATGCACATCGGTCACGGTAATAGTTACCGTTACACTATTGAGGGTAAACCTCTTCCATGCGTTCAAGAGCATAAGGACTTAGGAGTAATATTAAGTCATGACTTAAAAACAACTACGCATTGCAAAGCAGCCGCTGTCAAAGGTTTTCGTGCGTTATGGTCACTTCGCCGAGCGTTCAAATCTTTTGACGAGGAAACGTTTCGAATTTTATATCCCACCTATGTAAGACCACATTTAGAGTACTGTATCCAAGCAGCTAGCCCGTGTCTGGTAAAGGATACTAACTCCCTTGAGCGTGTGGGAACGAAATTAGTGAAGGGTCTTTCTAGACTCCCTTACGATGAGCGCTTAAAACGCCTAAATCTTTTCCCCTTGTCGTATCGTAGGACACGAGGTGACCTTATACTGGCATTTCGTATCTTTAATTATGATTTGGGTGTTAATATGTCTTATCTTTTTGCTCCCTCCAGCACTAATAATCTCCGAGGTCATAGCAAGAAGGTTCATAAACCACGATCTAATAAACTTAAAGTGGGATCCCGTTTTTCTCATCGAGTAGTCAATCATTGGAACGCCTTACCCGAACAAGTGGTATCAGCCCCATCAGTGAATACTTTCAAGGAGAAGCTGGACCTTCACTGGAAAGCAATGTGTCAGGATTAACACAGGTTCATCAACCTACTATCCTTATTACTGAAGTTCTGAATCGATCGGTTCAGGAGAGCTTTCAATATTTACTGTTTTGTATGCTTGACTAATTCAGACCCTTTGAGTTGAGGATACCAAGTAATTTAAGTGCATTGGGTTTTCAGTGAATTTGGACTATTACTAATGGGATCGAAGAAAACTACTTAATGAGCATTCGTTTGTAGAGCCAACTGAGTGAAGTAGTTTCCAAGTAGCTAACCGTCCAAAGCAACATGTCTTAAACAAAGTAGCATTTAGTACTATCGTGTCAGTATCAATATACAGAACTATAATGAAGTGATATATTACGAAACCAACCAAAAGTGTGAAGACCACCAAACGACAAAGGAACTTGCACCTGAAGGTCAAAGTTTTGTCTTAATAAACACACACAATTTCAAGATGATAAGTACAAACAATTTTATTGATTTGTATAAGAAAATTCGATCTGAGAAACTGTTTCACCTATTTCGAATTGGATTTAAAGTTTTCTCAATCCCTTTATTTTGGGGAAATTTCGGGAAACTTTGGGTAAAGAATCAGGTTGTAGCGGTAAATAAATCCCCAAAAAAGGAACTATGTAAGTCTTCGACATTGGATGCCGACCATATTGGTTTTAATGGACTCACTTAGCTCAAGACGTTCGTCCATGCATCCGCATCAGACCACGGGTGGGAACACCATGCTCAACATCCATTGCAATTGCTAGTCAGTCTAGATCATTCGATACTCCATATATTGGTAACCTATCAAATTCATCTGCGAAGCCTTGTAAAATACCTGTGGCAATCTCGAGGTTTTCCTCAAAGTCCAATGGCCTTCCCCAAAGTTTTGGGGATTTCCACAAATCTAGGGAAATTTTGGTTGAATGACACAAAAGCGGATAAAATTTTTCCCAAAACAGGGAGCATGAGTCATCATACGTTGTTGGGTGAAAAGTGAAGAGTGAAGAAATGAACGAATTCGAAAAACAGATGATTCTCTTGTATGTAAATGTCCTTCCTCGTCTCCTATCATCATCGGTCTTGCTATATCCTGACGACGTCAAGGTATGGAGAGCAGTAAGAAATAGAAGCGATAGATTAGAACATCAAAATGACACGGGGAAATTATCTGAATGATCTCAGACTTGGCGATTGCCGATATGTATTTTCAAGTGTATTGTGGTACATGTTGGTCATCGAAACACAGCTACATACATGATGAGCTACCTGTTGCCCAGACACACACTGACTAGTTATTCATCGTTTGCCAATACTTAAATACCACTGCACACTGCCGTGCAATAGCCGCCAAAGGTTTTAGAACTTTATGGTCAATATGTAGGCCCTTTAGTCACGTCGACGGTAAATGCTTATGTACGGTATTCAGACGTCCTAAACTTGAGTACTGCATACGAGCGGTTGACCTCTGCTTAAAAAATGACGATGAGCTTTTGGAAAAGGTTCAGGGTACAGCAAATAAGCTGATTCCCGGGATTGCGAAGCTTTCATGTGATGCTCGATTGGCTAAGCTTAACCTATTCCTGTCGTCATGTCGAAGAACCACAGGTGACATTATTACAGTTTTAAAATTACTGAGTGATAAATTTTTCACCTGATATGCCCTCATTTTTCTTGTCTCCCAAAACCGAGAATTGACGAGGACACTCCAAAAAAGTTCATAAGCACAGAACAAATTATTTGTCGGCTAACTATCGACTTTCCCATCGATTCATCAACGAGTGGAATTCATTACCTCAACACGTGATTAAATTTCAATCTGTTGGCTTTTTCAGAAGAATTTGGGATCAACTAAATGACCATTATTGCCAGGACTAATACAGGCCAACAAGCCTCCTATCCTTTCCAAACTAGAACTGTAAGTTATTGACATTGATGCCGACCTCACTGGTTGTATTGAACTCACCTTAGTCGAACGCGATCAATCAACACTCCACACACGATCACTGGGCACTCCGTGCTACGCATCCCTCGCAATAACCAATCAACTTAAATGGTAAAATTGTTCATTTGCGGACCATCCTACAAGTACGTCCTCGAACTCTCTCATTTTTGACTTCTGGCCTGACTGGCCTCGATTATAAAGGCGTTGCGATTAATAGAGTTTTCAATCCCTAAATGTATGTGGCGTCCTTAGTGGTGGGCTCATGGTGGTCTGTTAAACCAAATGAGATAATACGAGTCTGTTCTTTTTCGCGACATTATATGTATAAATTTTTACATACTGTGATATTGCCATTCTGTTCTCAAATTCTTTCTTCATATTTATAAATTTTATTGTTATTGCATCTAAACTCAAACCTTAACTGTCAAAGATCAGGACTCTCACACCCACAACTTGTAAATAATCTCATTTTGGCTTTATAAGATTCTGAATTCCTTGAACACGGAGTAACAGATGCACACGCGCATTTTATCGCCGTAGTGAAGTCATGACCACGCGCTTTCGTCAGGTAGGTAATTCCCAGTTCATTTACTAGTGATAATACTGAGTCTCACGGCACCCATAAAGTGCCCGCTCTTGAATGTAGAGGCCCAGCTACTCGATAAAACTATTGGCCCGCCATCCCATATTAGTGAATTGCAACACAGTTTGGGGACAGTATGAGGCCAGTGAAATTCCACTGAGTCTTAGCCAAATCGTCCGTTGAACAAATCACCGACCCCCGTCAAGGTCAAGGACAACCCACGCGCATCAGTTGAACGTATGCCATCGACTGGCGCATGCGGTGGTTGTCTCGCTATCTTCTTTGTACTCATTCTCACCAATGCATTTTCATAATAACGTCCTTTGTGTTGTACGGTCTTCAAAGCAGCCATGATACTTTCATAGATCGAAGGGATAATCCACGTTAGATGCTGGCAGCAAGATGTGACTTCGAAGTTATCTCGTTCGGCATACCATTCCCATCTAACTAGAGTAGACCTCCAATCATTGGAGATCCATCATCTTTGTGATCTAGAACGGCGATGTCGACATTGGACAAGGAACCTCGGTCAAAGACCTTTTAAGACAACATTTCTATCTAAGCTTTCCTACTCGGAGCAAGCTGTCATTGTTCCAGTTCAAAATAATGCTTTAAATGGGTCGGCAACTTTTGTCGATCATATTCTACAGATTTTCAGAAACATCGTCGTCGAGACTTGATTTGTCAAAGAGAATTCTCAGTCGGCACGGAAATAAATCATATATAACCGCTTTAATCTAAACGTCTTATCGCACACCAGTAAATGATGCCCAACTCCTCCAAGTATCTCATTACACATAAGATCTGTTTCTAGATTACAAGAAACAGATAACTGTTATTCGTGTTGGCACCTGTGATGATTAGGAGAACTCTAATTATAGCATCAACTAAAATTCCAGAAATAACGCAATTGGATCAAGAAGCGCTAGATAGGCACGAACGAATGTACTGTTGCAGATCACCAAAGTAGATGATCTATGTCGAATGATCGGAGGCCTACTCGAGTTAGACGTGAGTGGTGTGACAAACTAGATAACGTTGAAGTCACACCTCGTGGTCAGCACCTTACGTGGATTACCTTATTGAAGTATCAAGGTACATAGATGCTTTGAAGACTTTAAAATACAAAGGACGTCATTACAGAAATATATTAGCTAAAGTAAATGCAAGCGAAGGTAAGATCACTGTCGCACGGGCTAGTCCATGGCGTACGATTAACTGAGGCGCGTTGGTTGTCCTTGACCCTGACGAGGATCGGTGATTTGATGGATATTCAATGACCTAACTGCCATTATCAGTCGCTAACACCATGGGAACCGCTCCCCGACTAAACACCTTTCCTAATACTTGGATTGTGAGATCAGAGTTTAGTGAAGTTGTGAAAAAATTTCGTGGCCTCCAAATGCCCTGGTATCGCCGAGAGCGGGTTGGGTCCGCCCTCCCTCTCGAAATACTCTCACATGGCCAGACGTGCACAGCCTCTGCCAGGGAATTCTTACTCACTGCCTTCTCGTGGCGGGGGTGTTGTTTACGAAAATGAGAGGACGTAAAGTGAATGTCCGGTGCTTTAACCGGATCCCAAACCAATGGTGCACATGGGCTCCAGTGTCCTGCGGAACGAATGGCGTATGAACCAACTTTCGGTCACCGGCTACCATGGGACTGCATCTCCTCACGATGCTCCACTGCCTTGTGGGTTAGACCATTAGGTCAAAGGCTCGGGATGTGGCCCCCTAAGAAAACCACCTGTTTCGGTCTGGGCACCCGGGCAGTATCACAGCCCACACAAATAATGAACTGTCTATGTTTATGGAAACTACTTTTCTTGCTTCGACTAACGATCAAATGATCCAAATTATTGTTATTATTACTATTATTATTGCTATTATTATTATTTACTACGTCACTATTCACCCTCATTTATTCCTACTCTGTCTATGCTTATTTTTTCAACTTATACAGCAGCTCGTCTTTGGTGGAAATTCGACTCTATCGAAACGTTCCCGGGTCACTGTCCGGTTGAAAATTGTATGTTACCACCGAATATGAGTTTTGAAGCAGTTTTTCTGAAACCTCGTGCACCATTCAAACTGGCTGTCTTCAACGTTCGCACATTTATGCTGGTCGGACAACAGATAGGGTTGGCTATGTCTTTGTAAAGTCTTAATATTGATGTTTGTTGTCTATCTGAGACCCTTATTCAAGACTGGTGAAGTGCTACAAATTAGCTCTTCATCTGTCGCTTCAATAAGCTTGTTTTGCGTGCGCTTATCCGGGGACCCTGTGGCATCTCCGTCTGGTCTTGCTGGCGTTGGTGTCGCACTAAGCGCTAGAGCTGAGGCCACACTAATCGATTGGATCCCCATTAACAGTCAGTTAGGTGCTGTTAGATTACAAAGTTCCATCAAAGTGAGAAGAAATCGGCGTGAGAAACGATGTCTTTTCGTCATCTCCGCCTATGCCCCGACAGATTGCAGCCCGGATGCAATCAAGGATGAGTTTTACCACCAGTTATCTGTTCTTCCTCAGAAATTGCGTTCGACAGATATTGTAGTACTATCTGGAGACTTGAATGTTCAGTAAGTGCGTCTAAGCACAAGTAAGTATCGAACCGAGGTAGCTTCTAGGCCAGCTACCGTTCCACCGAAAATTATAGATGAGCATTGGCTGCAACTTCATGACGCGAATGAGTCGATAGTTGTCCCTATCTTTAAAAAGGGTTCACGTCGTTCCTGTAACAACTATCGGGGGATAAGTCTACTTCCGATTGCGTCCAAGGTATTGGCTTCCGTCATACTTCGTAGGTTGTTCAAAACTTATAAAATGCCAACAATCGTAGTGTTTCTTGACATCAGGGCTGCCTTCGATTCGTTGGACAGAACTGTTCTCTGGGATTGTCTATTGAA